TGAGTCCACAGGCATGTGCCCATTGCGTGGTCAACACGACTCCGTGCACCACCGCCTCTGGCACTGCGCAGCGAGTGAGCCCCAGCGCGCCGAGTCCGTGCCAGAGGAAATCATACACGCGGCACGCTCGGAACCCTCCGACCTGCTCTGGTCTAGGCTCGTCGTTTTCCAGCCAGACGATGGCGAGTTTCCGCCCCTCTCGGATGCCTTATGGCCGGACTTCCAAGATGCCCAGGGGATGTCTATTTCTCGGGAGGCTTGCCAAGACCTCAGTGCCGATTGCGATGTACGCGTGGATGGCAGTGCCACGCGATGTGAATTTCACAGGCTCGACCGCGCGGCGTATGCTGCTGTTTTCCTTGAGCCTGCCGACGCGTGCCAAGTCAGATGTCGGCTCCAAGGGGTTGTTTGGGATAGCCTCCCTCAAACTGCCCTCGCCGCGGAGCACCTCGTCCTCGCTGTCCTCTCTCTTGTCCAGGCCGGACCCGCGCGACCATTTTCTGATTGTCTAGGTGCGGCTCGTTTGTGCAACAAGCCGCCCTTGGCCCAGCTTGCGCGCGCTCAGGTTTTCGTTGGGCTTCGGCGCGGTGCACATGAGGGCCAGGGACATACCACGTAGGTCAGGTGATGCACACGCCCGCGCATAGGTCGGATGAGATAATTCAGACACTGGCACCGAGGGGCCGGAGGATCGCCCTGGGCAATAAGGATGCCGATCTTCTTGCTAAAGACGCTCTCCGGCTCCATCCCCACGGTTCCCCGTCGAGCAGCGAGCGCATGAGCCTGATGGCCAAGAGGCTGCGGGCTGTTGCCAATCTGGTGGCCAATGTGTTGCCACTGCTCCCGCTCCCCACTGTCAAGCGAAGTAAGACGCCGAGCACCACCCATGAGGCGTCGTGGCATGTGTGGTCTCCGGTGGGCGAGGGTAAGGTGAGGTGTGCCCGGTGTCTTCGTCTAGCCAAGGCTGGGCCAGACCTGGCTTTAATGCAGTGCCCTGGTCCTCCTCCAGTCCTCCGTCAGCTGCGTGGCAGCGAGAGCGTCCACCGTCACAGCCTGCAGTCCGCGTGGACGAAGCGATCGCGCCCTCTGATCTACTGCGTTCAGTGTGGCGCTTTTGCGGAAGAGCGCATAGGACTTTTATTGGTCAAGCGGTGTGACCGCGCCATCTCTGCCCGGAAGGCCTATCAGTTACGGCGGCTCCAGAGTGGGCAGCGTCCGCAGCACCGCAGGCGCCATGAAAAGGTGGCTCTTGCGTCGGAGGCGGATCTGCTTTTGATAAAGGGGGCGATTGGGTGGGCGGTCGAGTCGGGCGGGACCTCGTCAAACAGCTATTCCGCAGGGTTTATAAGCACCCCTGGGATGGACGCCCTCCGGGCCCGCCTGCAGGCTCGCGAAGCCCAGGCTGCCGAGGAGTGTCGATAGCCTTTGTTCTGGCCTAGGCGTTTGGCCTAGTTTCGTTTTGCTGGTACTGTTTCATATGTTTGTGCTCTCTCTGTGTCTCCAGTTCTGGGAGCGGAGGAAGGGATGCGAAAGACAACGTGGAAAGAAACAAAACGAATAATGGGTGCTGGGGAGGGGGGCTGCCCATATACATATATGTACATATATATATATATATGTGCATGTCTATGCATACGTATATGTACATGTGCATGCACATGTACTTGCCTATGTATATGTGTGTATGTGTATACATTTGTTTATGTGCATGTGTATGTTAATTTGCATGTGTAAGTGCAGGTTTATATGTGTATGCATGTGTTTAGGTCTATGGATATGTATTAGTATATGTCTTCTGTATAATGCATGGATTACGATTTAAGGCGCTGCTTGGAGTGACGTTGCATTCCTTAGTCATTTCCGTAGGCATTTTCAACTCTACGCAGAGAACTGCTGGGGGGCCACACGCTCGCGTCTCCGCGCGCATGACGAAACCCTTCAGAAACATTGGTTCTCCATCGTGTCAACACGAACATCTGAACGACGGGCCTTTCCAATGACATCTGGCCGCGATTTTGCATCTCTGCGCGCGCATCTCCTCATCGTCCTTACCAGGGCATCGTTATCATCATAACCGCCACTGTCGCCACTATCATGTTCATCACCATCACTGTCGTCGCCGCCGACATCATCCCCACCGCCGCCATCAACATCATCATCGTTAACGTTGTTTTCGTCGACCCTCGTCATCAGCGCCGCCATCATCGTCAGCACCATCATCATCACTTGCCCACCCGAGTCACGGATCTGCATGATCAGGTCCTCGCGTCGATACGCCAGTTAATGTTTGCCATTACGTTACGGGTGGTCGGGTGGCTGGAATATTTGTCCGAGCGTTGGGGTTGACGACGACCGTTGGGGGCGGTCACGCGCGTTGCAATCTTTGCCCTGGAAGGAGCTAGACTCCAGCACCCCATCGAGGAAGGGCCAGCGCCCCCCTCCACGTGTTTTCTTTGATTTCGTCTCCACGCGCTTTTTTTGCTAGCAAGAATTGCAAAACAACATGCCAGCCAAGCCTGTATCGAAACCCCCCTTGTCCGTGTCAAGCATATCATGCGGGGCTCGCGCGTTGATCTACCAAGGGCGTGCTGTAGCAACCATGCCGGCCATATGCGTGCGCTGCCGCGCGCATCTCAGACTCCTCAGGCAACCAGTTTTTTTCCAACAGTTCCAACACATTCAGGCTTTCAGCACTACCAAATCCATATTTTCAACAGAAGCATGTAAGATTGTTGTTCGCGCGCACTGGTTGAAATCATAAGAGTCGGTTTCGGGCAGTTCTGTCAAGGGAGACATGCCGGCCGCGCGCGCGAATGCCGAAAACATCCCGCAGTCATCGCGCATCCGCCATTTCTGTTAAATGATCGAACGGTGGCCGCACTCGCGCGTCTCCGCGCGCGCACGTCGTCACCCTTCCAACACGAAACTTTTTAATCCACGAGTTTTACTAGTATAGTGTTCTGCAAACGCGTACGACAACCAAACATATCACATTGCCTCTCATGGAATAGGTGCCCGGAGTTCTGAATTTCCGCGCTGGCGCACTTTCTCATCACCCACATCGGCACCATCGCCGGCGTCAGCATTGGCATGGCCGTCATGGGCACGATTATCCTCATCGTTACCATCATCAGCGCCATCATCGTCGTCAATCGTGACCATCATCATCACCACCGTCGTCACTAACACATCATAATCGTCATCCTCATCATCGTTATCATCGTTGTTCTCGCCCTCATCATGCGCGCCACCATTATCATACTGATCGTCATGATCTTTCGCCCGCCCGAGTCATGGACCTGCATGGGAAATAGTCCTCTCGCTTGAACGCCGTTATGTTTTGGGGACAACAGTTTGCGGGTGTGTTAAGTGGGTGATTGCTCGAACATTTGTTTTCCATTCAGTGTACCACGTATACCGCAGACCAAAATTCGTCTGCAACTCGCACTCCGTAAGCAGCTCCTCCGCATACGTTCATTAATTTCCATATTTAAACTCAGTCGACCCTCCCCATGTCGAAGCCAGCCTTAAACAACTCTTTAGCTCCGGGTGGAAAGGTTTAAAACGACCGTTTTCAAGTATGAACACACGCTATCCCAGCGGAGCCCGTATATCAAGTAGGATAATATCGTACGAAGAAAAGTTTAACAGTCAGATAAGCCAGTACCATCCCAGCGTTTTCTGTCAGAACCTCCTGATCAGCTAACACCATATGGGCCCCGCGAGCCCCCCCACCCCCACGCGCATGTCGAAATCGTCAGGGCATGCATTTGTTTTCTAGCAGGCGTCTCAATAGATCACCGACCCACAGCACATGAAAGCACTTTGCTTCTCAAAGGCACATTTTCAGGTCCATTGCGCGCGGAGCTCCACGCTCGCGCGCCCCCGCGCACGCATGCCGAACATATTCGACAAGACAGTAGCGCGCGGGTCAGAACCACGAGGATTACCACCAACACCGAAATCTAGGATCATCTTCCCCCCGTGGAGGCAACCCCCCTGTGTTGGTGTTGCTGCCAGTTTCCAGGCCTCCAATTCTTGGGGGCCTTCTTGGGGCCTCTTGAGGTTTCATGGGGGGCGTCTAAAGGGCAACCCAGGGGATGGGGTGGAGGTCTGGAGAAGCCTCTTCGGCTTCTCCATCTTGGAACCCCTGGCGGGGCCATCCTTGGCTTTTCAGTGCCCCTCCTCGGGACTCTTAGGTTGTATTTGGGCGATATTTGGGGCTTCTTGTGCTAATTCGGACGCTGCGGAGACCGAAGAGGCGAATGTGTAACACTCATACAAAGACCGATGGGCTTCCACACTTGCGATGGGCTTGGGCCGGCCCCGAGAGCCTCCAAAAGGCCCCAGAGGCGCCGAAGAGTGCTTCAGGACGCGCCGTAGGTATAGGTAGAATTCGAGCATGTTGGACACATTTCAAGGCTCTTTGAGCTTTGGATTTGTCTGGCAGGCCATAGGGCGCTTCTGCAGCATATGGCCCAGGCGACCGGACCCCCCGTCTTCAAGCAGGTCGGACTAGGCTCATGGGGGAGGAGGGGTGTGAAGGGGAGGCTAGCTCACACGCCAGGGAAATCCTCAGGGGCCTGCGATTTAAAAAGAAATGCTGGCAGGTAGCTACACTCACGGTTTTCGATTCTTGCCAACACGTTGCGGGTTGATGTGTTCACGATTGACATGTTTTCAGATGTGGTTGCGCCTCCAAATGTCACAACACGTAGTTTTCGCACCACACATTTTGCACCACGCATTCCATTTTTTTCGCCCCATCCGCATATGTTGCACCGCGAATGTCCACTACATGAAGAGCACCCCGTAAATAGCACCGCTGATACTTCATGTAATGCACCCATGCAGCAGCTCCACCCCACAATCCGCACCATACATGTCACACCCCGCAGCCTGCACCGCATAGCTTGCATCATGCATATTGATTGCACTATATTGTGCGTCCCGCATGGTGCAACATGTAGGTTGCAACACCTATAGGTTGCGTCATACACAGACTGCGCGACGACTGGTACATATTGGGAGTACAAGGGACCTGCTGTTTGGGGTTCAAGCTGGCAATGTATCTCCATTTTATGCGTAGCAAGCGCAGTGCAAGGTCTGATTATTTGATGGCGCACTGTTATGTCACTTTGCGTCTCCAGTGGGTTGGTAGAGGTTGAGACGGAGGACTGGGGACGCCTTGGGCGAAAGTCTGAAGACGTGGGGCGCGAATTCATCCAGCTAGTTTCACCTGAACGAAGCAGGCTCTGGCGCATTAGCTGCACCCCGCGCACCTGTCGGTCTTATTCACCCGAGTGACTGCCATCTGTAGCGCAGCTCATCATTGATCTGCACGGAGGTAGTACTAATCACTCGTCCTGCTTGTGCCGTCACGAGTAGTTCAGTTGTGGTGACGTTGCGAGCGCCGTGCGCAGAAATGAGCTTCCTCAGGGCCAACACCAGCTCTTGAGACACTGCGTGACTCCCTTCGAAGCGAGTTTCCCCGACCAATGCTTGCATTCAGGGTTATCTTTTCCCCGTCGAGAGGACTTGGCCGGGGTTGCCGGGCTTTCAGCAAGTCGCCCTCCACCTTCCGACTAGACGTAAGAGTGACCTTTCGCCGGAGTGACCTTTGGTGCGGGCCAAGTGGGTTCGCCCGGTCGCCAAGCGCGATGCGATAGTAGCGTCTTGCGCGTTTGTGTTTGGTCCCCCCGCGGTCCCCAAAAAGCCGCGCGCCAAAGGCCACTCTTACCCAGAGTCACTCTTGCGTGTAGTCGAACCCCCGGCAGGAGGCCCCCGACTTGGGAGGGGCGCGTCCACAGCCCGTGCCCGCCCCCCTCGCGAAGCAGCGCCGCCCTGCTTGGGCGCTCGGTCTTGCGGGCAGGGTCGTTCCTCCTCCTCCTCCTCCTCCTCCTCCTCCTCCTCTTTCTAGCCGTGTCGGCCCAGGCGATCTGGGCTTGCCCGAGTGTGCTTCGACGCGGCTCGCGCGGGCGGGCCATCGATGGCGGCAAAGCATCCTTCTTGGCCGTGTGGAAATTGCGCGAAGGTGTATGGCACCGCGTTTGCCAACTATGCCTTCCGCTCCCACTGCCTGCGCTGTGGCAAACAGGCGCCGAGGAGAGTGCTTGAGAAGCAGAAGCAGCTACATCATGGGAAAGGTAATGGTGGCAAATCCAAGGTTCTGTGGCACAACACGAAGAACAGGTGGGAGGACGGACCGCTTGTCTCGCTATTTGGACTACGCCGAGACGAGCCAAAGGGAACACCAGTTCCAGCACCTGCCCCAATCGATCAGGCAACGTCGAAAGCAATGCGTGAGACAATGGCAAAGGCGCATGGAGACGGCAGGACACAGTGGCCTGCACAGGTGCAGAGTATGGTGCAGCTACGAGACAAGACGGTGGCAGTCAAGCCTCCGGAGAACCAGCCCGTGGACATCACCAAACTCAGCTCGTTCCAGCTGGGACAGCGCCTGGAGGACACAAGCAGGAAGCTACATAAGTCCGAGGAGCGACTCAAGGAGCGAGAGGAGGAGTGCAAGCGTGCTCTTGCTGCTCGCGACGCCGAGAAACAGATCTTGGACAACCACAGGCTCAAGAAACAACAGCTTGAGAAAGCAAAGACCGAGGCTTTCCTACGTGAGCAGGCAAGCTGTGCGGAACATCCAGCATTGCAGCTCTGCGGGAATGTCGTGGAGGTACAGCTGTCAGGTGGAAGCGGCGAGGTCCCTGAATGCCTTCGAGGACCGATGCTCGCACTCCAGCAGGCAGTCGAGGCGTACCAGCAGCGGCAGAAACAAAAAGAAAAAGAGGGGCGCGCGAAGGCTCAGCATCCTCAGCATCCTCAGCATGCTACTGATGGTGGTGGCGGGGGTGCTCGTGATGAGCCCATGCAACCCAATGGACCAGATGACGTTCCAGTCCCCGACGACGAAGACTTGGAGGAGCTCCGCGCAGAACAAGGGCTCAAGCTCGATGGAGTTGTGGAAGAGGAGGGGGTCAAGCGCATCACCGAGGCACGCGAGCGACTTCGTAACCAGCTTGCAGCCCCAGCAGAGCGCGCAAAGCGGAGGAGGGTTGCGGCCCCAGCGTGACCTTTCATCATAGGAGGTGTTTGGAATATGAGTCCACTTGACTTGGAGGAGCTGATGTTTTGGATGACATGCCTGCTACTATAGCAGCTCCTGTTGAGTGGACGTGCTCGGCAGGATGTGGGAGGACAATGCTGTTTTCGTCATTTCCAAAACTTCCAAAAGCTTGGTCACAGGCGTGCGAAGATTGGAGGGAGTCAGCTTGGCGACGCATTGGGGCGTTCCTCTTGAGCTCGAGGCAGGGCCAGGAGCAGTTGTGGAGCAGCAGATCACCATGCCGAAGAAGCTCCCCAAAGAGCGCCCCCCTGGGAGCTCCTAGGGAGCCGCCTTCGCACGCTCAGGTGCACAGAGAATGTGATCATGCACGAGAAGCGCAAACTTTAGATTGGTGCGTTCAGCAACGAATGAAATTGGTAGAGAATGAGCTGGCTGGCAGATACCATCTACAAGATAGCAAGCGTCGGGCTACCTCCGGAAGGTGTGTGTTGTCGGACCCACGTTTCAAGTTGGCGGCGGCGGTGAGGAAAGCACCAGGACGAGGAGCGGAAGGGGGTCCTGCGCCGAGAATCTGGAGGAGAGCGTCTATGGCCATTCAGGATCTCACATATGCGCTCGAGAGAGGGCGGGAGCTGGACTTGCAGTTCGTGACGCAAAGGTTGCGGACGCTCCAGAATCCCAGACGTAAGAATGTGGACATGGGGAGCTCTGGGTTCGTCTTCTGGCATCGGCTCGAATATGAGTGGTGCTGGGAAGATGAACGGCTTCGCGACTGCAGTTGGTCTGCGGCGCAAGAGGCCACCAATTTGGAGCAGCAGCATGCTAAGCAGCGCGTGAAGGAATTGCGACAGGCAGTTGAGAAATCCATCGAGCAGGAGCAGGCTAAGGCACACGGATGGAGCAAGCTACCGGCAATGTGGACGCAAGTTGGAGCCCCCCCCCCCCACTACCACGGGCATCAAGTCGCATGCAACCACGCTCGACACGGACCTTCAGCAATGGCCCAAGATATGGAGCCACGATCCAGACGCATAATCTTTTGGAGCAGGACGTCGCTTGCAGGATGTTGACGATGATGGGCAGATGCGACCTTTTGAAGTGGATCAGATTCGCGTGGCAGCGCAATCGTTCAAGGGGAAGACAGCCTCAGGCATCGACAACCTGGGTCCCAAGAACATGGCGTTTGTATCAGATAATTGCCTTTTGTGCTTTCAGTGTGGTGATGGGGGTCGCTGAGAGGATCATTGTAGTTCCCGGTCAGATGAAGAATGCAGCGTTACCGAGGCCCCCAAACCCGAAGGGGGGCGCGCGTTGATCGGCCCGATGACGGACACGCTCTGAGTTTACAACCGGTGTCGTCGACATGTTCAGCGAGGTTGGCTTCGAGAACACGCTCGGTCTTGCCGCTGCGCTACAGCTGGCAAGAGCTCGGAGAGAGCGGTTTGGACACAGCCTGTCTTGGCAGAGGCAGGCAGAGCGCTCATGGGGCACCCGGTCACGGCCATGCTCGACTTGAAGAAAGCCTTTGAACAGATATCACATGCTACTCTTTGGGCGAGTGGTTGCAGGCGTAAGTTGCCGAAGAGAAGACTTGCTGTGCCCATCGAGACGCACGCGGGCAGGAGGGGCCTTAAAATTTGGGATGGTAGTTGCCAGGTTCGCCCGCGCAAACCAAGGGGTCATCGCAGGTTGCTCTGATGCAACTACCACGATGATCTTGTTCACGTGGGGCGCCTGCGACCAGGCGTGCGCGTCGTGGCCCTCTTTGACGATCAGCGTTGTCGTAGATGATGGCAGCTGGCAGGCGTCGGGCGCAGAAAGGATGCAGCTCGGATCATCATGGCGGCGGCGAAGCTGTCGCGCAGGCTCCTCGTCGAGTTGAGTCCGAACAAGGAGCGCGTTATTGCGACGACGCCGAGAATGGCTAAGGAAGTTGAAATGGCATTGAGTGATTGGGCCTTCTGGCGGGCAAGAGTGGTCAGACAGCCTGGACATGGCCGACGCGTGGGAGGAGGTGCAAGGATGCCCGCGCACCGAGGACGAGTTGCAGCTGTAGGGCGCAGAGTACCGAGGTTTCGGAGACTGGCACAAGGTGGCAGAGAGATGGGGAAGTTCTTCCGCTCTGGAGGCCTAGCATCGATCGGATACGCGGCGAAGGTCCGGGGCATGAGCGACACGCAGTCGCAACAGGTCAGAGCGCTATCAGGACATGTACAGTTCGGATCATCGCGAGGAAGAAGCAGGACGATGGAGTTTCTGTTATCGCACTGTCCTCGGTCAGACCCGACGTTCATTGCGGACGAGTCCACGTTGGCGTATTGGCTCCAAGCGAAGTGGGGGCAGTGGGTCAAGCCGAAGGCGATGGCCCTGGCATTCATGCACGCGCAAAACCACGCGCGCTCCTGGCAGTCAGTTCATGGACCAGCTGGAGCAGTACTCATGACTCTTCGACAAATTGGATGGAGAGCAGAGAGTTGGAATCTTTGGTTCGCAGAGCGCGGCTCACAAGTTGACGTGGGTGATATCGGAGGCGGCACACTGAGAAAATTAATCAATGCATCCACCAAAAGGCGTCTGCTGGAGGCAGTTCCTGGCAGTCGTGGGATGGAAGGGCTCACTGGGCCGCCGATTCTGGAGCCGGCGGTCAATGAGATTGCTGAACTTCGACGCAATGGAGACTTCAAAGGAGCTGGACTCCTGCGCACGTGGTGGGCTGGAGGTTTCTTTAATCAAGTGAGGTTGCATGCAGGTCAAGCGACGGACACGCCGATTCGCGCAATGTGTGGCGTTGAAGAAGGCGCCGACTTGCACGGGTGCTTTTGTTGTGATTGGCATCTCACGGAAAGGCAAGCTTGGAGCGGATACGAGAGAAAGCTCATGCTGCGGGGACGCAATGAGTATGGGCAGGACCCACCCGTGCACGATGATGTTGTGCAAGGGCCTCTTTCTTGGTATGTGTGCACTGCATCAGGGCTCAGCAGTGGAGATGTGTGCGTGAATGGCAGCTGTATCTGTCCACGCTGTGAGTTTCGAGCTCGAGGTGGATGGGCTTTCTGCATGATGGAAGCAGTTGGCAACGTTATTGCGGCAGCTTCTGGACCAGCACCGCTTCCATGGCAGACCTCAGGTGCAGCAGAATAGTATGCGGCGAGGCAAGCAGTGCTACACGAGTCACAAGGACGGATACACCTGATCACGGATTTCTAGGAGCTCTACATCGGCTGGCAGGCTGGTTATCCCTATGGCACACACTCTGATCACTAGTATGCAGAGTTATGGGTACAGTTCTGGATAGCAGTTGAAGGTGTTAGAGCACAAGAGATAGACATCGAGTGGATTCCTTCGCACCTGTCTCAGACAAAAGCGATCGAGCAGCAGGTTCCCTTGGCCTACTGACGCGGCGACAAGCAGGTGGACTTCTACGCGACGTGCGGTGCAGCTGTGCACCCCAGAGATATGCCTCAAGAACGAGCTCGCCAGATGCGCGAGCATGCGGCGGCGTTGACACAGAAAGCTGCGCTGCGCATCCTGCGCCGCTGCTCGATGGGAAGATGGGCAGATGTTGAGAAGAAGGAGTACGTCGAGAGACCGATCGGTCTCACTCTGAGTGGTGACAATGGGCATCTAGTGCGTAGGTACAAGGGAAAATGGGCTTGCGCGAGGTGCGGAGAGAGCCGTGCTCGAAGGTGTGATCTTGTGAACTTGAGCTGCGGAGGACCCGCTAAGGGGGTCCAAGCGGCTCATGAGACACACCGCCTGTGGAAAACGGGGCTGGTAGTTTGGTCTGTAGATAGTGCTGCTCGTTGCGCCAGTAGAGCATATATGGTAGCCAGACCGCGTAAGGGTAGACCACCCCTGGGTTTTCCGAGGCACTTTAAGAGGAAGTACCTTATCCAGGGGAAGGGCCCGTCGGGCGAAAAGATAGGACATGGGTTTCACACGCCTGTGCCTATCACCTCGCGTAGCTGATTTTCGGAACTCGCGCTTATGATATATCGCGTTTCTGGCTTGGTGCCTCGTTCTCGGAGCCCCTTTCGTCGTCATCGGAACCTTCGGAACCCTCCTCCTCCTCCTCCTCCTCCTCCTCCCCCTCTTTCTCCTCCTCCTTCTCCTCCTCCTCCTCTTTCTCCTCCTCCTACGCCTCCTCCTCCTCCTCTTCCTCCTCCTCTTTCTCCTCCTCCTCTTCCTCCTCGCTGCCACCCCTCTGCCCTCCAACCTGATTGGCGCGATGCGCAGGCGGCGCGCGGCCCCGCGCCTCGGAGCGGCCCAGGGGCGCTGGCTCCCGCCGCGGTGGGCAGATCGCCCGAGAGCAGCGGCGGTGCTGCCGCTGCCGGCGGGCGCGTGGCCGCCGTCGGCGAGGCCCTGTTTTCCAGGCTCTGGCCAGATCGCTCGGCCGAAAGGCCGCAGCGCTGGCATGACTGCTGCCAGAGGCCAGCACCACTCATGTGGACGACGGGACGAGGACGCTCACGCGACGGCGACCTGCGGGGTGTGCTGGTACAGCGGCGTCCCCCCCAGCGCCCCCCCCCAGGAAAGCATGGTGTTGCATGCCTCAGCAGGTCATTGCCCATGGTCGCAGATGGTGATGACCACCTGTTCGACCTCGCCTGTTTCACTTCCTAATGCCGAATGCGTGTTTCGGCTTGGAACGAACGTGATGTTGGTTCATTTCGGCCGCTTGAAACAACTTCGCGGACAATTGCGCGTTGGGCTGCGTTGCAGCTTCAACAGTTCGCGGCTTGCCGAATCTTGTTTTGCTCTGCGCAATGAACTGTCATCACCCTGGTCACGAATCGAAGTTCCCAATATCCCCATCTGTGCAAACCATTGCGAATGTTCTTGGGTAAGCGCAGCAGGCCGCGCCCGCTGCCGACTGGCGAACATGTGGGACTGCTGCGAGGTGCGATGCTGCTCGTATGGGCTATCCTGCCGCCCGCGTCCCTCCTTCCCCTTCTCCCCCCCAACGCCCTGCTTGGCATCGCTCGGACATGTGCATAGTTCCTCGGCGAGGACAATCAACTAGCATCATGGATCCTCGAGCAGAAAAAAAAACACGCACAATACCGAAACGTGCACGGGCGATTGAACGCCCGAGCGGTGGCAAGCCTGCCTCTCCTGCGCACGAGAAGCACAGCAGCAGCCCTGCGGCTGCTCGACCGCAACCTGCACCCAGGGCGCCGCAGACCAAGCATGGTAATAGCTCTCCCGCCGCCCCACCGCTCCCGCCCCCGCCGCGCCCGCCCCCACCGCGCCCCCCCCCCACCGCCGGGGGGTGGGGGTGTTTGCGCGTCCCCTCCACCGCGCCCCCCCCACCGCGGGGTGTTTGCGCGGCCCCCCCACCGCGCTCATCCTCCACCGCCCCGCGTCCAGGGGCGCGGGTCCCCCCCCCCCCCGCGTGTTCACCCGGCCCTCTGGGTTGTGCTCC